AGAAAATGAAAGGTTATTTGATAGAATATTATGCTGTTTATACTTTGTGATATTGTAGGCTTCCTACTCGTAATGTTGTTATGAATCCAATATTTGAAGAGCAAGACTCTGAGAGTGTCAATGAAGTTGAGGCCGAGAGTGATAGTATCAGTTATGCAGATGTGATAGATCAGAACTTTATCAGTCAACCAGAAAACTTTGAGCCTTTATATGACAGGGTTGAATCAAAACAGAAATTCCAGCCACCTGATCATCACAGTGAATCTGACAATGACAGCTTTCATTTGGATGATTTCACTCTTTACTGAACTGTAAGCTACAAGAAGAATAGTATTATGCTGAGATTTTAAAACCTGTGTTCATTGTTTTGTGCTTAAATTTAATTACTAAACTGCTGTTTGCTAACTTGCTCAATGAGTAGCTAAAGTGATTTTGTTTTATGATTGTCCATTGTTTTATATTATTTTTGCATAATTACAAAATATGCTGTAAAATAAATATCAATAAATGATCATCTCTTATTGTTATTTTAAAGTTCCTACACTAGCTACTGAGGCATGATTGATAATAATAAATTTGTCAATTGACTCAGTCAATGGTATAAATTATTAAATTTATTAGATCTACTTTTAAAACACATTTTAACACATAATAAGCACTAGATTAGTCTAGTTAAGCTCTGAAAAATATTAGATATCATATGTCAAAAGGTTCTCTTGAACGAAAACATGATTGTTATACAATGGATTATTTTTCCTGACTGTGTCACTGCCATCATCATCACTTGGTTGATTGGTCTTTTTATTTTTAATGATTACAAGAAGAGCTATCAAAATAATTGCCAACAAAGCAAAAGTTGTAGCTAAAAGATACAATATGTAAGCTAAGTTAGAACAATAAATTTTTACTTACCTGCAAAAATAGTTGTTATGATGTATGTCACATCACCAGTAGGATGTTGCTATAAAAATAAGCAGATTATCAATGTTATAATTTTATTGTAATCCTTACATTGATACATACAGTATCTGGAGTGGTAACATTTTTATCCTTATCTCCTGGTGTCTGAGATGCCATAATGCTAGTAGTTAATAATGTTGTAGCTAAACTCGAGTCATCTTTAACTTTAATTTCTTAATAATCATCATTATTATAAAATTGCTACACATATAACATTAGTATACTAACCAAGGCAAGTGTAATTATCATCACCCAAGTAATATCCTGTTTGACACTTGCATTCATAACTTCCTTTAGTATTGTGACAAATACCCTCACACTTGTCTTTTGGTAGACATTCATCAATATCTAACGCAATCCTTATTATTAAAAATATGGCTTGATATATATTACCTATGCATACATTATTACATAGAGAATAGCCAGTAGAACAAGAACATTGAAAACTTCCAATAGTGTTAGTACAGTTGTGATCACAGTCTCCATTATTAAGCTCACATTCATTTATATCTATCATATTAAGTCAAAACTGCGCTCAGAGATTTTTAATACCTTCACAATTTTTGCCACCAATCAACTGAAATCCTTTTCCAAGACACTCACAATGATAGCTACCTTGAGTATTGATACATGTATCTGAGCAGCCTCCATTATTATCATTGCATTCATTGATATCTGAAAATAAATCAATAATTGTATAAAAGAAATTATGTAATGCATACCAAAGCAATCATGTTCATTAGCCAATAGCTCATATCCTGTATTGCAGGAACATGAGTAGGAGCCAATGGTGTTAGTACACCTTTGATTACAAAAATTGTACTGATTATGACATTCATCAATATCTATACATGAATCAATAAAGCATCAAAATAAAACAATTCCTACCAATACAAGTTGTGTTAGTTGTGGTGTTCAAAGTGAATCCATTGTTACATACACAGTAAAATGAACCATCAGTGTTGATACAAGTATGTTCACAAATGCCAGGAATAGTTTGACACTCATTAATATCTAATTATTTGAAGACCCCATTGCAAACATTTTACACTCTATAGTCATACCTTGACATGTGATCTCATTAGATTTCAAACGATAACCATTATGACATGAACAATGAAATGAACCAGGTTCATTGATACAAACTTGGTCACATGTGTCAGT